TGCTGAACCCAAGCCAAAAGAGTGGTAGGCATTTAGTACCACCAAGGATTGTACAATGCCTGAGACCATCATTGTGTGCCTCTCGCTGAGTGTGGGATGCTCATGGGTTATCAACCAGGCCGTTTGTGGTCATGCTGGCTTTTTAGACCACAAAGAAAAAACCCTTTCTCTTTCATTAGTTGTGCAAGCAAGTCAGAGAAGAGCAGGATGCTGCTTTTGGAGTTCCCTTGCCTTATTCAGGGCTCTGCAAAATGACTTCATTCCTATACACATAAGCTGTATTGGGTAACTTCAATATGCAATGTCTATGTACACCCCAACCTACACACAGCAAGGAAGACGGAGGCTGAAACACAATTAAGATAGAGAGCAAACATACACCTTCTAAAACCACAATATGACTCCACTAATATGCAGCCATAGGATTAGACTGGGATTTCAAAGTTGCAGCTTGCAGACCCCTATCATCTGGCCCCCAGCAGATGAGACTCCCTATATGGGTCTCAGAGCTGACCCATATAAGATGCATGATGGACTAGCCCCATGTGCAGGACCTGGGGCACACCCCATGTGGGTCCCAGACTGGCAGGAGTGGGTGCTGTGTACGGCACATGTCCTGGACTGACCCTGCATGGGCCTGCTGGGACAGGTGCCACATGCTGGATCGGGCATATGCGGGAGAAAGGGCCCAATCCAGCCCCATGGAATTCATCTGACCTATGGAGCAGCTCCATGCCACTCATAGAGCCCATGGGGCCAGATGAGCTTGACACCTCTGGATTAGACAAAGATTTCAGAATCACTGGGACTGAAATACCCCTTTTCATAGCATGGGGTAGAACTACTTAAGAATAGAGGTGCGCCGATATATCAGTGGCATAATGGATCAGCACTGATAAAAGGAAAATTAACATTATGGGCAATCAGTTTTTTGGCCAGTGTAGCCAATAAGGTCAGTAATAAATGCTGCATGCATGTGTATCTCTGAAGCATGCACGTGGCCAGGAATGCAGCCAGGCAGCGTGGAGAGCAGCATCCAGCCGGTAAGTCTGTGGGGAGTAAGGGGCATGGGGGAAGGAAGAGGCGTGGGAGGTGTGTGCAGATTGAGGCCCCCGCAGTGAGGGAGGTAGTGGGGCAGGGGTCCATACAGAGACAGGGAACCACACCCCTCTCTACATCCCCGGGACTAGCCACCTGCAGCTCCATCCTGCTCCTGGGGTCACAGTCACTGTCCTGGCTGGACAGCGCCTATCCCTGCCCCACTCCCTCCCTCACCATGGGGGCCTTGATCTGCCACACCCTCCATGCCCCTTCCCTTCCCCCCTACAGACTTACTGGCAGGAGGCTGCTTTCCAAGCTGCCAGGATGCATTCCTGTAAATTGGCTATTGGATCGGTACCGGACAATACGGCTGTTTAATAATCGGCCACCGGTATCAGCCAAGAAAATGTTTATCAGTGCACCCCTACTTAAGAATATGCTGTTTCTCTGCAGGCTCCAGGTATTATCACCTCCAATATTCCAAGATTTCAGGCTTCACCTTTGCTGTAACAGGGCACTGTTGGGTGATGAATTAAAAAGAAATGCTTCCTCTGCAGCATGTCAGAAAAAGCAAATCTATTTCAATTCCCCAAAGAATGGGTAATATAAGTGTGTTGGCAAGGTGCTAATCTGTCGTTTTCTCTGTGGCACCACAGTCTTTGAGTCACCACTAGGAGACAGGGACCACATTGCTCTATACAGTCTAGTACAGTCCTGAATAAAGTATATCAGGCAGGGAGAAATAGCACTTGTGAGCTAGTTCTCCACTCCCAAGAGAGGTCAAGCATAGCCATAATTTTAGACGGGGCTGATTCTGAACTAAGCCATGTGGCATCCATTATTTGAGACCTTATTCTCCTTCCTTGACAACACACAACATTTCTCTTGAAAAAACTGTCCCCACATACTCTACCCTTCCCATTCTGAATGAACATTTAGTGCTCTTCCCTCTACAGCACCTCCTCAAGTATCTGTTTCTATTTGTTTTCCTCTGAAAGCAGCAACCACAGCTACATATTGTGGTTCCACTGCATAGTTGACCAGAGCACGGGATCTTTCCAACACAGCTACCTTAGGAAAACATCACAAATGCTAAGCTTCATAACCCCTGGTAATATTTTCCTATTGCTCCCCACCTTGTTTAGAAAATGAAAGCTTTAAGTTATTCCAAAGTCCTTTAAAAACGTTCTGGTTTTAGCTGTCTTATTCACTTTGCAATTTTGTTTCATATTCTGCCAGGCAGCATGCAATAAAAATCAAGGAGTGAATTCAGTTTTAAATTTCATTTGCCACGTGATTTCGTTTACTTACTCCAGCCCAAACTGGGCAAAGTTAAATAAACAAACTGAAATGCATCAGAATTTTGAAAGGATTATAAAACCTTATGTTTCAAGACTTAAGTCATCCTCTACTGAAAAGGAGTTAGATGGAAACTTTTTCTGTGACCAGGTCACAATATGTAACTGCCTACTGCACTGTTGCTTGCTCTTCTTCAGCAGATGGTACTGGTCACTTCTGTTCCACTATCTTGCCCCCAAAGGGATTATGGGTCTTATCTGGTGTGGTTATTGGTATGTTCCATCAGTCAGAATTCAGATCACACAGGCAGGGGGTCGTCTTCACTG